GCAGCAGCAGCAGCAGCAGCAGCAGCAGCAGCAGCAGCAGCAGCAGCAGCAGCAGCAGCAGCAGCAGCAGCAGCAGCACCTGAGGAGAAGAAGCTGTCTGCTGCTCTCCAGCCCAAAGCCTGGACACAATCTTTTAAAAGACTTTTTTCTTGAGCAGCAAAACTCAAGTCTACAGTAATGGTGCGGCCGCGGCAGCTGCTGCGGGGCTGCAGGCGGCGCTGCTGCTGCTTGCTGCTGCTGCTGCTGCTGCTGCTGCTGCTGCTGCAGCAGTTCGCGTAGAGCCACTCGCCCAGCGCCCCGGTCCAGTTCTCGAGCAGGCCCGCCAGCTGCAGCGGCGACGAAGCCAGTGCTGCTGCTGCTGCTGCTGCAGACTTGCTGCTGCTGCAGGCAATGCCGCTGCCTCCTGCTGCTGCTGCTGCTGCTGCTGCTGCTGCTGACCCCTGCAGAAACAAAGCTGAAGCTCTGCACCTAACTGACCGAGACTCTCCGCGCTCATCCAGAAACACATCTTGGGGGGGCACAACAGCTGCTGCTGCTGCTGCAGCAGCTGCTGCTGCTGCTGCTGGACGGCCCATTATTGCTGCTGCTGCTGCTGCTGCTGCTGCTGCGGTGGCGGCAGCAGCAGCAACAGCTGCGGAGGCACGGACGAACGCTCCCGCTGCTGCCGGGTGCTCTGCGGATACGGCGGTCGCTGCTGCTGCGGCTGCGGCTGCTGCTGCGGCTGCTGCTGCTGCTGCTGCTGCTGCAGTTGCAGTTGCCGCTGCAGCTGGGGACCATGTTGCTGCTGCTGCTGCTGCTGCAGGTACACCGCAGTAGTTTCGCGCAGCAGCAGCACAAACATCAACACGGCCGCCGCCGCTGGGGGCCCCGCTGCTGCTGCTGCTGCTGCTGCTGCTGCAGGGTGTAGCCAGGCAGCAGCTGCTGCAAGAGAGCCAGCAGCAAGAAAGACAAGAAAGCTTAAACTAATGTATTTAAATTTGAAAAATTAAATAAAGCAGACAGCGCAGCAGCCTGCTGCAGATCCCGCAGCAGCAAAAGTCACGTCCCGCTGTTGCAGCAGCTGCTGCTGCTGCAGGGGCTGCTGCAGCAGCAGCCGCTCCCGCTACATAGCCTAAAGTTAAGTTTGAATTATTTTTTTAACAGTAGCAGCAGACACTTGTACAGTTAAGAGCTTTGCTGCTGCTGCTGCTGCTGCTGCGCAGATGCACAGCAGTCTGTGTGGCAGAGGTGCAGCAGCAGCAGGAGCTGCAGCAGCAGCAGCAGCAGCAGCAGCAGCAGCAGCAACTGCAGTGAAAATCAGCAGTAGAAAATAGAAGACCTGCCGGTCCCTGTGGATCCTGAGCACGTAGGGGCTCAGACGCGGCGCAAGCAAACCCTAGACCCTAAACCCTAAACCCTAAACCCTAAACCCTAGCACCGGGGGCGTCGATCAGTGGAGGCAGCAGCAGCTCTGCGGCCGCCCCAGCAGCAGCAGCAGCATCTAAGGAGAGGCAGCAGCAGACACGTCGCAGCAGCAGAAGTTGTACCAGCAGCAGCGACGGGAACCACCTCCAGCAGCAGCAGCAGCAGCAGCTGCTGCTGCTGCTGCTCGTCTGCGGTATATGCGCAGCAGCAACAGCAGCAGCAGCAGCAGCAAGGGAGCATCAAAACTTTTTGGCAGCTTATGAGGGGAGGGCCAGGCGATGTCGCTGCCGCAGCCACAGAAGCAGCAGCAGCAGCAGCAGCAGCAACAGTGGCCTTAGACGCAGCAGCAGCAGCAGCAGCAGCAGCAGTTGCTCTTCGCCCCAATGTCAAGGCCTGGACTGCGGCAGCGCCCCTTGAGGGAAGCAGCAGCAGCAGCAGGAGGTGCAGCAGGAGGAGCAGCAGCAGCAGGAGCAGCAGGTGGGGCAGCAGCAGCAGCAGCGAGCCCGCAGCAGCAAGAGCTTGCTGCTGCTGAGGCCCCAGCGCTTCGGCCAACGAAGCAAAGAGCAGCAGCAGCAGCAGCAACAAATGCAGCAGCAGCAACAAATGCAGCAGCAGCAATAAGCGACCCCTCAGCCCCTGCTGCTGGGAATTCGAACCGCAGCAGCAGCAGCAGCAGCAGCAGCGGGCAGCTTGCTGCTGCTGCTGCACGGCCCACAACAGCAGCAACCACCCGATCAGCAGCAGCAGCAGCTGCAGCAGCAGCAGCAGCAGCAAACGCCGCTGCTGCTGCACCGCCGCGGGCTTCTCCAACTGCAGCCCACCCAACTACTCGCGCAGCAGCAGCAGCAGCAGCTGCTGCTGCTGCAACAGCAGCAACAGCAGCAGCAACTGTTGCTGCTCGACGGCCAGCGACTACTCGCAACGCAGCAGCAGCAGCTGCTGCTGCTGCTGAGAGACAAGGCCCCGTAGCAGCAGCAGCAAAGAGCTCTCCAGGCCTGCAGCGAGCAACAGCAGCAGCAGCAGCTGCTGCTGCTGCAGCAAACGGGGGTGCAACTGCTGCTGCTTCAAGGCGCGGCAGCAAGATAGCAGAGAGCAGCAGCAAAACTGCTGCTGGGTCTGCTGCTGCTGCTCCTGCTGCTGCTGCTGTTGCAGCTGAGCAGCCGCAGCAGCAGCAGCAGCAGCGCTCTCCTCGGAGTGCTGCTGTTGCAGCAGCAGCAGCAATTGCAGCAGCAGCAGGGCCAGCAGCAGCAGCAGCACGGTCTGCTGCTGCTGCTGCGTCGCCTAGAACAGCAGCAGCAACACAACCAACTGAGAGGGGGAAAGCAGCAGCAGCAGCAGCTGCTGCTGCTGCAGCAGGGCCAAACAAAAGCACGCCTTCAGCAGCAGCAACAGCAGCAGCAGCAGCTGCAGCAGAAGAGGCAGGACCAAAGAAGGATGCAACTGCGCCAGCAGCAGCAGCAGCAACTGCAGCAGCAGCAACTGCAGCAGCACCAGCAGCTGCAGCAACTGCAGCAGCACCAGCACCCCAGAAAATAAGACCTTCGGCCCAAAGCACAGCTCGAAGAGACTCGAAGCACAAGTGGTTAGTGGTTTAGGGTTTAGGGTTTAGGGTTTAGGGTTTAGGGTTTGGGGTTTAGGGCCGAGGGTTTAGGGTTTGGGATTTAGGAATAAAGGTGGTCAGCCTTCAGGGCTTAGTTTCGACGGCGAAGAGCACGAGAGGGTTTGGGGTTTAGGGTTTAGGGCTTAGGGTTTAGGGCTTAGGGTTTAGGGTTTAGGGTTTAGGGTTTGCGTGTAGGCGGGGGGCGGATGCTTCTAGTGAAGCAGCAGCAATTTCGTCAATTTGCTGCGGGGGCAGCTGCTGCTGCTGCGGCATTGCCTTGTCTCTGAAGGAATATAGGATAGAATGTGCTACCTGCAGCAGCAGCAGCAGCAGCAGCAGCAGCAGCAGCGTGGACAGCAGCAGCAGCAGCAGCAGCAGCAGCAACAGGGAGAGCAGCAGCAGCTGCAGCAACAACGTGGACGGCAGCGGCAGCAACCGCGACGCCAGCAGCAGCAGCAGCAGCAACAACACCGGCCCCAGCAGCAGCAACAGCAGCAGCAGCAGCAGCAGCAGCAGCAGCAGCAGCAGCAGCAGCAGCAGCAGCAGCAGCAAGTTTATGATTTGTATGAAGTGCTTCTGCCGAGGAGCCGAAACAGAAAAGCACAAAAACGATCATCCCTATTATGTTGTTGGCCCCAACTCCAAAGAGCTTTTTGCTCCATGTAACTGCTGCTGCTGCTGCTGCTGCTGCTGCTGCTGCTGCTGCTGCTGCTGCTGCTGCTGCTGCTGTTCTTGCTTTTGTTGCTGCTGCTGGTGCTGTTTTGGCTGCTGCTGCTGCTGCAGGGGGGCGCAGTTGCGGTGCTGCTGCTCTTCTTGGCCCGTTTGCTGCGGTCTTTTCTGCTCTTGCTGCTGCTGCTGCGGCTGCGGGGGTTTAGGGTTTAGGGTTTAGGGTTTAGGGTTTAGGGTTTAGGGTTTAGGGTTTTCGTGCAGACTGGACTGCTGATGAGGAGGTAACTCTCCTTGAAGCTGTAGCGAAGTGTGGACTTGGAAATTGGAATGTAAGATCTGCTGCTGCTGCTGCTGCTGGTGCTGGCTGCTGCTGCTGCTGCTGCTGCTGCTGCAGCTGCTGTACTTCACTTGGACCTAGCTGTGTTTATTCGCTGCACCAGCAGAGGCTGCTGCTGCTGCTGCTGCTGCTGCATTCGTTGCTGCTTTTTATGCCGCCCTGCCACCGCTGCTGCTGCTGCTGCTGCTGCTGCTGCTGCTGCTGCTGCTGCTACGTGCTTCCGCAGCAGCCGCGCTTCTTCCAGCTTGCGTGTCCTCCCCACTGGCTCAATTAAATTAATTAATTAATTAATTAATTAATTATTTAATTATTTATTTATTTATTTATTTATTTATTTATTTATTTATTTTGTTTTACAGGATGTTGCAGCAGCAGTTAACAAAGTGGCTTTGAGGCCCAAAAGCCGCATGCAAATCGAAGCTCATTATTTTGAGGTGTATGTGGAGACAGACGGAAGGCCTGTCCCTTTATGGCAGCAGCAGCAGCAGCAGCAGCTGCTGCTGCAGCAGCAGCAGCAGCAGCAGCAGCTGCAGCAGCAGCAGCAGCAGGGGGCTTCTGCGGCTCAAAGTGCGCCTACGGGAACGCCCACAGGGTCCGCAGCAGCAGCAGCAGCAGCAGGTGCAGCAGCAGCAGCAGCGGATGCAGCAGCAGCAGCAGCACCAGATGCAGCCGCAGCAGCAGCAGGAACAGCAGCAAATGAAACACAGGAAGGTGCTTCTGTGAAGGGAGCAGCAGCAACAGCAGCAGCAGCGACCGATTCGGCAGCAGCTGCAGCAGCAGCAACAACAGCAGCAGCAGCAAGCGATCCGGCAGCAGCAGGAGCAGCAGCGAATGGCTCAGAAGCAGCAGCAGCAGCAGCAGAAGTAAGCGAGGAGGAGCTGCTGCTGCGGGAGCTGGAGGCGGAGGTCTTTGGCCCAGCAGCAGCAGCAGGGCCAAAACCAGCAGCAGCAGCAGCAGCAGCAGCAGCAGGAGAAACAGAAGCAGCAGCAGCAGCAGCAGCGCCTTCTCTGGCTGAACTGCAGCAAGCAGCAGCAGCATTTCATCCAAGTTGGATTCCTGCTGTTGTTGCCGCTTCTCCGCAGCAGCACTGCGTGCAGGGGTAGGAAACCCTAAACCCTAAACCCTAAACCCTAAACCCTAATTGAGTTGCTGGCAGCAGCAAAGCCTAAACCCTAGCCTCCGTGAATCTGGGCGTTTTCCTGCTGCATGCAATGCTAAACCCTAGTGCTTAATACCTTAACCCCTCGCCCAAGTCCAAACCCTAAACCCTAAACCCTAAACCCTAATTTAGGGTTTGGCTGCTGCAGCTTCATTGCCAACCGCGGCGAGTTCGACGTCGAATTCGATGAAGACGCTGAAGCTCTTGTTGCAGATTTGGAATTTAATCCTCAAGACACCCCCCAAGAAACAGCCCTCAAGGTGCTGCTGCTGCTGCTGCTGCTGCTGCTGCTGCTGCTGCTGCTGATGTTTTGCTGCTGCTGCTGCTGGTTTTTAATACAGGGCTGTTCCTTTTGCTGCTGCTGTGGGCGTTGCGTGCTGCTGCTGCGTGCGCTGCTGCTGGTTCCCCGGCTGCTGCTGCCAAGCCCCACCTAAACCCCAAACCCTAAACCCTAAACCCTAAACCCTAAACCCTCGTTTGCGGCGCAGCTGCGGCTGGTGGAGCTCTACAACTGCCGCGTCGATGAGCGGCTCTACAGAGGAAGAACTTTGCTGCTGCGGGGCTGGGCAGACTCAAGACAAAACAACAGAGAGGTAGCTTGCTGCTGCTGCTGCTGCTGCTGCTGCTGCTGCTGCTGCTGCTGCTGCTGCTGCTGCAGGTGGTGTGGGTGGCGGTGTGTGTACTGCTGCTGCTGCGGGCGATGCTGCTGGTGGTGGCTGTGCTGCTGCTGCTGCTGCTGGTGGCACTGCTGCTGCTGCTGCTGTTGCTGCTGCTGCCGGCGTTCTTGCTGCAGTTGTTTCTGCCGCTGCTGCAGTTGCTGCTGCTGCTACTGCTGCTTCTGCCGCTGCTGCTGCTGCGTTGGCGGGCCGAAAGAAAGCTCTGCGACCAGGAGCGAACTTCGCTGCTGCCCCAGGGTCCAGGGCTTAGGGTTTAGGGTTTAGGGTTTAGGGTTTTGTGCTGCAGCACCGGTGCCGCGCGGAGCTAGGGTTTAGCAAAACCCTTTTCCCGCTGCAGCGGTTTCATGCTGCTGCTGCTCATGCTGCGCTGCTGCGGCTGCTGTCGATACACCTGGAAGCAGCAGCAAGGTGCTGCTTGCTGAGGGAGTGGGGCTCCCTGGGGCTCAGCACGCTGCAGTCTGTGCGGGTCCGCGAGGGTTTAGGGTTTAGGGTTTAGGGTTTAGGGTTTAGGGTTTAGGGTTTGGGGTGTGCGGCGGAGGGTTTGGGCCCGGGGGGAGGCGTGAAGAACGCCCTGGCGGGCAAGGTGCGACTCGTGGTAGGGGATAGGGTTTAGGGTTTAGGGTTTAGGGTTTAGGGTTTAGGGTTTAGGGTTTAGGGTTTAGGGTTTGGGTGCTTCAGGCCTACGAAGAGGAGAAGGCGCAGCGCAAAAGCCGTTTGTCGCCTCACGCCTTTCTTGCTGCTGTTGCTCGCGATCAGCAGCAGCAGCAGCAAAAGCAGCAGCAGCAGCAGCAGCTGCTGCAGCAACAGAAGGAGCAACAGCAGCAGCAGCAGCAGCAGCAGGCCTCTCCTGCAGCAACAGCAGCCAAACCTCTTGACAGTCCCGAGACTTCTCCAGCAGCAGCTGCAGCAGCAGCAGAAGCAGCAGCAGGACCGCCAGCAGCAGAAACAGCAACAGGAGAGGCAGGAAGAGCAGAAGCAGCAGCAGCAGCAGCAACAGCAGCAGAGGAAGTGGGACAAGAAGGGCCAGGAGAAGCAGCAGCAGCAGACAAAACAATAGCAGCAGCAGCAGCAGCAGCAGAGAAAACAACAGCAGCAGATTCGCCTGATGCAGAGTTGGCACGCCACCCAAGCAGCAGCAACAGCAGCAGCAACTCTAGCACGGACAGCAACACTGGCAGCAGCAGCAGCAGCAGCAGTAGCAGCAGCAGCACACCTGAGGAGCAGCAGCAGCAGCAGCAGCAGCAGCCATGCGGGGAATCGCTGCCACCTCCAGAAAGCGGCAGCAGCAGCAGCAGCAGCAGCAGCAGTGATGGCGGGCTCACCACTAGCACCGCTGGCCCCAGCAGCAGCACGCCCAGCAGCAGCAGCAGCAGCAGCAGCAGCAGCAGCAGCAGCAGCAGCAGCAGCAGCAGCAGCAGGGTTTGTTTGCAGCAGCAGGACGAAGAGTTTTGTCGCTCTTTGGAAATTCCCCCTGTTGTCTTTTTGCTGATTTCTGCTGCCATTGCTCGGCAAGCAGCAGAAACTCCT